CTCAACCTGAAACAAATCTTCTAATCTAATAATTTACAGCATTACAATCAACTTATTAGGCAACTATTCACATATAATATCTCCCACCACGTGTAAATGAACTAAGCCTGTTGTGTGGGAATTTTTCTTGCATTTTTCTAGCATTACTAAACTAATATCAATTTTGAGAATAGCCATTAAAGGACCACTATAGGCACCCAGACCACTTCAGCTTAATTAAGTGGTCTGGTTGCCAGGTCCAGCTAGGTTTAACCCTTTTTTCTATAAACATAGCAGTTTCATAGAAACTGCTATGTTTATATTAGGGTTAATCCAGCCTCTAGTGACTGTCTCATTGACAGCCGCTAGAGGCGCTTGAGTGCTTCTCACTGTGATTTTCACAGTGAGAAGACGCCAGCGTCCATAGGAAAGCATTGTGAATGCCTTCCTATGAGACTGTCTGAATGCGCGCGCGACTCTTGTCGTGCATGCGCATTCAGCCGAGGAGAAGGAGAGGAGGAGGAGAGGAGGAGGAGAGGAGGAGGAGAGGAGGAGGAGAGATCCCCGCCCGGCGCTGCAGAAAGAGGTAAGTTTAACCCCTTCCACCCCCTACAGCCCGGCGGGAGGGGGACCCTGAGGGTGGGGGAACCCGCAGGGAACTATAGTGCCAGGAAAACGAGTATGTTTTCCTGGCACTATAGTGGTCCTTAAAGTACCATGCAAAATCAGCTAAGATTTTGCAGACTATGACACAGGATCATTCACCAAATATCGGATTTTGTCCATCTGGTGAAAATTATCAAATTCTGATGGCAATGGCAACTCTCATACTGCCGGTTGCATTTGATGTCCAGATTAAAATTGGTGCTTTTGCAAATGTATCCTATACAAAGTATAGGATGCAGAATATCCACAAAACACAGATTCTAAACTGAATATGGATTGATTGAATACATCCAGCAGGATACACACATTTGCTAATTTTTATTAATGACACGGAGGCTCCTATTATGCTTTCACTTTCTTTATTTCCCTTCAGCAGCCACGAGAAAATATATATAACTTGAATGTATATGAATAAAAGAATCATATATAACAAATCTGCCTAGGAACAGGGCAGCCAATCAGGATACAGGAACAGTCTATACAAAGTCTAAACTAGCAGTAAACTTCCTCTTTCTTTGCTGCTCCCTCAGACCAGCTAAGTATATTGCTTTTTTTTACTCAGTGTTTTGTTGCATTTATTGAGTATTTATATATTTATATTTGCACAAGGATATATATCCATGTAAGCAGGTATCAGCACTCTCGTGTATTTAAAAGTCCAAAATTTATTGTTGTAAGGTTTAAAAACGATATATATATATTTGTGCACGGCACATTTAGAGGATGTATGGTATAATATGAAGAAAATATAGTAAGAGCAAAGTCAGTTGCACAGCAAAGTCAGTTGAGGTGGGCCAAAACTGACGTGAGGTTAGACCTGTAAAAGAGGGCCAACCTAGGTGATGTCAGAATAAATAGAGGGTGCGGTGGGAGGGGAACTTCCGAGATCGTTGACGACAGGTAAGCAGGGGCTCACTGGGTTTAAATAGGGGACATAGTCCCTCCCACAATTACAGACCAAGCCTTCCATATATATATATGGAGCGTCCAGCAGAGGCCGGAATCCAGAGCCTGTGTTCCCCAGGGGGAGCAGCACAGGCAGGGAGAGACAACCAAAACACACCAACACAAAGCAGTGTGAAAACACACTGCCAACATGCATATAAATTAAACAAGATATATATATATATATATCTTGCATGTTGGCAGTGTGTTTTCACACTGCTTTGTGTTGGTGTGTTTTGGTTGTCTCTCCCTGCCTGTGCTGCTCCCCCTGGGGAACACAGGCTCGGGATTCCGGCCTCTGCTGGGCTTTTTTCCCCCTGCCTTCTTCCCTCTGAAGCCACATGTACTGCGGCCATGGTAGTGCTCTTGCTGACCCGACACTGCAGCGGTCCCCTACCCTTTGGATTAACACTGTGTTTGTCTGGTCCTCTTTGCCGCAAGGTTACTGTCTCACAAGTGTTTGGCCCTCTCACTGTGCTCGCTAGTCATTGCGGGGGGCTGAGCCTGCTTACCTTCAGCGTGCTTTTTCTCGGAAATGCGCAAAGACAAATCCAGGTGGCGTATAACAAGTGGCTGACAGGGCTCCCGGCGGCACGGCTCTTATTCCTTTCCATACCTTATATGTATTGTCTGTTTGAGGTTACTCAACCTGTGGGGTGCTTGTCTCTGCCCTTAATTGCTATCCAGAACCTCTTAGTCACTTTCCTTTGCTAAGGTTTAAGTCCTGTAACCCAACCCACTATCTCCCCGGGTGTTGTGATTTCAGGCTTGTGCCTGCTATGGCTGCACATTGTACAGCGCTATGGAATTTGCTGGCGCTATATAAATAATAAAATAATAATATTTGGTGCTCCAACTGAGCACCAGGCCAAAACCACCACCTCATCTAGGCCCTGTGGGGTTATTACTCACCCCTGTACTGCCATTGCCATACTCCATGTAGGCAAATGGTGATGGGGCTGAAGGCCCAACTTATCCCAACCCTGATCCCCTACTTCCTTCTGCAGCAGTGGACACGGGTTTAATTCTCTCCCAGGAATTCCATGCCCTCCTGGATTCCACTCTGCCCTCCTGGATATCCATTCAGAGGGCCCTGATTCTGAGAGTGGGGTAACTGGTCTGATGACCCTGATGATGACCCTGATTATGCCTCCAATGATGAGGTGAACTCCGACTCAGAGGTGGGCTCTGGAGTGTCGCCCTTTCAACCCCTGGAGCCTGGATCTGGTGGTTTTACTACTATTCCGGTGGGGGTGGGGGATGGTATTCGGGATCCAAAGGGTTACCCCTTGCTTGACCCAGACAACCTCCGCCATCCTCATTCTGCTGATTGGGACCCTCCAGAACCCATAACTAAGTACTTGGCTTTGCGCATGCATACACCCTCATGAAGGAGGGTCACAGCAAGTTGCGGGCAGAATGCCCCAGGTCATCTGTCACAGAAGTGGCGTGAAAGATGCCAGAGGTTGATCCTCACATCGTTCAATTCCTGGCCAAGACGGGTTCGAAACCCAGAAAAGGGCAGGAATTCTCATTGCATAATTGTCCGGACAAGATCCTAGACACTTTGGGGCCAGCTTCTAAATTGTATGAGCTCCTTGAGTCCGCTAAGGCAAGGAAATCTCCACTTGATTTTGATGAGGCCATCGGGTGAGCTCAGAGACTTACTCAGAGCTTACCTTCTTACCCTTTTACTATATATTGGGGCTGATGTGTACTGTACTCATTGCTGCCGCCCAGTAGTGATGACAGAGAAGAGTGAGCGCAGGACTTATTTTTTTGCATTTTTTAACTATATATTGTCTGCAACTTAAGTTTAGATTGGATTTGATCATAGACTTTAGGTTTCAAGGGAATGCTTTAAACAATAAATCTAAAGACACTACTGTGTGTCCTAAGTATAATGTATACTCTATTACATGAGTGGTGGGTGCTACTTAATCTGAAACATTTGGATAGTTCTAAATGACCAAATGCTAGAGTTGCCTAATTAAGGCCCATCACTCAATGCAATTCTCTGTGATGCTGTGTTCATTATTTAACAAGATCATGGTTGAATAATACTTTGTGATATTCAATTCAGAATTCCTAAAAAACTTAAAGTATCACTCAAGGTCTTCACAGCAGAAAACAGCCGTTTCTACTTCTTCCATAGGACTTTGCTCTGGCATCTCATACTTTATAATTTTCTGACAACTTTGGGGCCTCATTCATGTAGTGAACAAAGAACATTTTATTTTGACAAACAAACGCTAACTGATTTCAGAAGGTGTGATTTCCTGAGGTACCCTCTCTTCGTATCTCTATGTGTCTGTGTATATGTGTGTATTTCTGTCTGTGTGTGGGAATTACTTCTTTGGAAAGGCTGCTCACTTATATTCATGTTTGTCTGGCTCACATTCAGTAGAAATTCTACCAAGTTCTCAGCAATTATAACACTAATAATAACAGATGGGAATTTGTCGAAGAAGCCAAGACATCATGACAGGGCGTCATATGTGGGTGAATGTGTAATTACCATGCCAAAGTTGCTTTAAATTATTGGCCTAAGAAAAACTGCTATAACAGTTTAATGAGGAGTCATATTTAATACATGCTTTTAATTTACATATATTTAGTATTGCGACTACAGACAGCTAGGGGATGTATGACTTCATGTTTATTATCATATGTATGCATTCTGAGTGAATATTGCATTTTAAGTTAAGAAAGAAATATCGCCCAAAATAACTATGTAAAATAAAGGAATATGTTTGGCATTTATACATTTTTTGACAAGGACACACATTTATTTGGAACAGCTCCAAAAAGATATTGGATATTATATTATTTGAGACATAACTGAGACAATTCTGAGGTAATGTAGTTTTTCATATTTATTTATTTATTTATTTATTTATCATATTAAACATTTTCAAAGACAACCCAAATGCAGCTAAATGAGAAGTCTTTGCAAAGTAGGTGCTCTAAGTAATTGCCTACCTCTTCAGTTTAGCTCCTCTGAACTAAACTACCAGGAAATTAGAGAGTTGGTTGTCTGACAGCCAGATGGGTGTAACAAGGTTAATTTTTTTTTTAAAGTACCAATTTTGATAGAAATCTGCAAGTTGTGTAAAATAAAAAAAGAGGACACACTAGGGGTGCTGCAAGGGTAAAAAAATAAATACACAATTCTTCTCCTGTCCTTGTTTACATTGCAAGACTTAGAACGTTTGAATGGTAGACAGAGGAGCATGGCCAACCATGTAGCTGGATGAAAGCTTGCTGAGCTAGCTCCAGGCCCTACGGATCGATAATCTGCTTCATCCGAGGTGAAATAACAATATGGGGAACCCCAACAAAATTACAGGGCACTCAAGCCACCACAGGGAAGACATCAGCTGGGAAATCTGGCTCCCTTTCTAAGTTTAATGGAATCGGCTGACTGCGTGTCTGACTCCAACATGGCACCAACGGCCTCCCAACCAGACTCTTCTCTGTCAAATCCAGCACCATCCGATGGATCATCCTATACAGCAAACCCAGACATCAAGGAAATGCTCCAAAACTTACCCTCTCAGAGGTACCTGGCATCAATGCTAAATAAGCTGGCATCCTCCTTCCAGATGAAATTAGTGAGTCTGGGATCTGACATGCGACACATAGGCCACAGGGTCCGTGACCTGGAGGACAACAGGGATTTGATCAATACACAGATCCAACACCTCTCCTCCGTGATCGAGCAACAAACATCTTACTTAGTCTCCATGATGCGCTCCCTAGACGATGTGGATTATCGCGGACGCAGAAATAACCTTAAGGTCCAAAGCCTTCCGGACACTTCCAGCACAAACTTACCTGCTATGCTCTACAAGCTCTTTAACCTCATACTGGGCAAAGCGCCAGAAGTACCTGTCAACTTAGACAGGGCTCACCGTTTGCTGCGCCCCAGGAGCTCCAACTCAGAAGCACCATGAGATATCATAACCTGCCTCCATTACTATATGGTGAAGGAGAACATCCTCCCAGCCTTCTGTTCGACTGAGCCTCCACTCCTCTTTAATGGCCGCCAGATCAAGATATACATTGACTCATCATGGCTGGCCCTCGTAGGCTCGTTGCATGCTGAAACCCATCACATACCTCTTCCGGAGCTATAAAATAAGGTACCGCTGGGGATTTCCCTTTGCTGTCATAGCCACACACAAAGGCTCTACACATACAATTGCCTCACACCCAGATGTCCAACCCTTCCTCCAAGCACTAAACCTGTCTTACATCCAAGTCATGGACTGGTATGCTCCTATGCCTAATAATATGATGCAACAAATGCCTCAACGCCAAACCTTGCAGACCCCCTCCAAGAGAGCCCAAGATCCCCTACTGCAACACAAGCCTGGATACCCCCCCATGCAGACAACGGGACAATATAAAAGAGCTGTGACCTATCTCCCCGTCTACCAGGAATACCCCTCCATGTTACATTGTTATCTCTCATTTTACCATGAGTCCCACTGATGAACTTGTGCCTCCCCCCCTCTCTATATTGGATAACTGACCACTTCCCACTGAGACCACCACAGACCTACCACTTCCATGGAGCTGGAACCTCCAAAGACTAGACCACCTACTACAACCACATTGAATGCTACCGCAGAGCTACCCGCTGAATACAGCTTTTAAAAAACTGTGGATTTCTGCAAGGACATGTCAATTGACATTTACTCTCTATGCATTTACTGGTACTACATAAACTATGAAAAGACAAGTCAATGGGGCTACTGGTCCCAACTAACAGTACAGGTTGTATACCATTGTTGCTGACCAAATGTGTTATTTAATTAGTATTCTTGGTTTTATAATGTTCCACCTTGCTCCGCCACATCCTCTCCCCCCTCCCCCCTCCCCCCCGTAGAGACACTCCACTGGTAAACAGATGTTTTAACTCATTATTACCTCTTATTGATGGTAATTCACTCCTGCCTTCCCAGTTGGCCCCCCTAGAATGTACTGGGTGGTAAGACTGACATCACCAAAAAGGGGGAAAAAAATAAATAATAATAAATAAATAAATTGGAACAAATAAATAAAATAAAAATAAAATAAATAAAAAACAGAATTCACCAACTGCTGATTAGTTACCCACTTCCCCCTCCACCCTGGTCACAGCGTATCTCCAGAACCACACGCCGGAGAACTACTAGGCATCATTAAAACACCTCACAACTTTACCTAAACTGATGCAAAGCTGTCGATCCCAGAGGTCTCTACTCAGCCACACACCCCAATTCCATCACTCCCACCCCCACCCACCATACAGGGCAATAGTGTTTGAACCCCTTGCGGTGTCAGGTCTTCTATAGACATGGATCCCTGCAGACTCAGGTTAATCTCAGGGATCGACACCAGCGGTAACTACTTATTATGTATATCAATGAAAGATATCCATGAAAATCACTTATCAGATGACATGGGCAGGTTCCTCCTACAAAAGAGACAAACTACCTTCATACCCACCATAACCAAATACCTTGTGCCAGATATAATAGATGCTTTTCAAGACTTCTATACCAAACTCTAGACCAAGACTTCCCACCATCTCCTGACGACATTGAGAGCTTCCTCCGCCCCAGAGCAGCCTCCGCTATTCCTCAGAATGTCTTACATTCCCTAGACCAACCCATATCCACGGTAGAATTTGTATCTCTGGTTAAATCACTCCAACTAGGAAAAATCCCAATTTGGGTGGTTCTGCAGATTAAATATCCTTAAGATTATACCTGTTACAGGTGCTGCCCATATCACCCCCCAAACTCTTCTTCTCGACAATACGCAAACTCTTCACAAACTTCATATGGTCCAGTAAACACCCTATGCTCGCATACTTTCTACCCACTTGACCAAAAACAGAAGGTGGGCTCGGACTACCACACATTGAACAGTACTATAACGCCTTGCCAAAATCTATGACTGGGCGCACAAGGACACGAAAAAACAATGGGTAAACATGGACTCATTTTTCAGAGTCCCAATCTTCACGATCCCATGGCACAAATCAGGTCAAGCCCTGCTCATACATCCTCAACACCCAACTATAGCCCCCACACTGAGAATGTGGTCACACTTGAGGCACAACCAGGACCTCTCCCCGTACCCATCACCACTGTACCCAATATTGCACAATCCTCTTTTTAAACCAGGAGAATCCGGAAACGCCTACAAAGACTACCACACATCACAATACCTCCCCCTGAAAACCCTACTTAGTGACTCGGGAGTCATCCCACTAGAAACTATATACCAATTGCTCCCACACATATTTATACAGAAATTCCACTACTCCCAACTCCTCCACTTTCTAACATCCTGACTATGAAGGGTAACCGTCCCCTCTCTAATTTTGAAAACCTTTGCCCTAACCAAATCTTGAAAGAGGGCCATATATCTACCATGTACAACTTTACGCTATCAATCCAATACAATGGCCTCCCACCCTTCACAGTCCACTGGACCCGAGAGCTACAACTGGCCCTTACCCCGGAGGACTGGAAAAATGTTTTTCTTGTTATTCACAAATCTTCTTTCAACCTAGCTTAAGACAAAAACCACTTCAAAAGAATTGCAAGATGGCACTATACACCTGAAAAGCTAAACTGACTCTACCCAAACACTACACCTGCTTGTTGGCGGTGCCACCAACCTAAAAGCAACTCAGCACATATGTGGTGGCATTGCACAATCATAAATAAGTACTGTTCCCGCATCACACAATATATTCATGCAATTACAGGTGCCGACCTTCCGTTCACCCCTGAGGTATTTATTCTCCTCCTACTCCCACTATCCCTACCCAAGTTGAAGATCTCTCCAAGCACCTTTTAACAGCAGCGAGCTGATCCCCTATCCATCATAGGATGTATACAGAAGGCATAAGAGTCAAGGAAGAGATGTGCCATTCACTCTCCAAACATTACTCCCAATACACAATCACATGGGAACCATAGGTCACCTATCTTAAAAATAACCACAGACAGGTCCTCAATAACAGGGGCGTGTTGACCCACCACAGTTTCTCAAATACCTACCATATCATCTAAAACTTCCCCATCCCAACTTTATTTTATTCTATTAATAAAAAAAACAAAAAAACAGACTCACTAATTAGATAACAACATAACGACATGCACCACAACATCCAGGCATTCCTATTACCTCTTCACCACATATCGGACTCACCTAATCATGTCCGTCTTGACGAGACATCGCCGGAATCTACACGATATAGGGAAGTACCCATACCTCTCAGCATGTCCACAATCCCATATCATATACTCATCAGGGTGTTGTCAGAATGGTGTAGTGCAGCGTGAGAACTGACATCCGACCAGGACGAGGCCCAAAGCCCAGAAGGAGCCCGGTTGGGTGGGAAGGCCATGAGTTACCATACCCCTGGTCCAATATTTTGTTATGAGTTACCCCACTAAAGTGTATTCCACTGTAATTCATTATACAAGTTCAACACTTGTTTTTGCAATGTTGTACTACACTGTATGTACTATTGATATCTATCAAATAAAAAATAAATAAAAAAAATACACATGACATCACCCCAAACTCCACATCTGCCTCTCCCCAATTCTCCTGCTTATCAGGCCTCTTGGCACACTCATAGTAACTGACAGACACACACACACACACACACACAGAAACATGTACGCGCAGGGCTGGATTGGGACAACAATTAGGCCTGGGTATTTAACCCCTTAAGGCCCAAACTTCTGGAATGAAAGGGAATCATGACATGTCACACATGTCATGTGTCCTTAAGGGGTTGAAGGCAGAGCAGCCCTATAAGAGTGGGGGTTGGAGCAGGAAAGCTGCCGCTTTTGCAAGCTGTGTTTAGATATTCTGCCAATGAAACAACTGCAGAATTAAATCCATACATGTTTTCATTGGTGGTATATCTACCAAAGAGTGATTTTTGTTTAATTTGGGCAGTGGAATGGCTCTTTAAGCACCCAGAAAGGGAAGGCTAGCCTGTATCTGAATGAGTTATTTTATTTTTACCATTCCTAAGTGGAGAAACCCAAAAAACAGACTGGATCCAAAGCAAGCCAAGCACTATGGCAAACTTAATGCTGAATTTTGGCATGCCCAAATAAGCACTAACAAGACAACAGCCTTAGTTTAGCCTGACTGTTAGGCTGCCTTTAGAGGGCCCTAGGTAGTGTTTTCGGCTTCTTGTGCCACTATGAAGTAGCTTCGCAAGGCGAACTCCCATCCTGATGGGGGAATTCACCCCATGGGCCAGATCATAGCTAGTGCCTTTCAACGTCACCTTCGTGGCAAAGTAATTAGGACCTCATCTGTCATGGTCAATCAATTTTGAACCTCACAAATGTCACCGAGAGGTCAACTCCCCGCCACAGCATTCAGTGGCCTACTTCCCCATGGCCGAACTCAAAGGTAGCACCTCTCTTGGCCACTTTGAAACTAGTATTGCCTTCCAGCCACCAGTCCTAGGTTAATTGCTTTGCCACTTGACATAGGATAGGTCAGCCACTACCCAGGTGAAGTAGCATTTTACTCATTAAATCCACAGTGAAGACTTAGATCAATTTATGAAACTATTTTTTATTACTGCTTTTTCTTTCATTTCAGGTAAGGATCAACCTTTGACAGCAACACTTGGCATCTAGTAACTTGTTGCAAATTAGTCACCACTTCCTTAATTTATCTGGACCAAAAGTAGCCCAAAGGAACAAAGAATTATGCACAATTATGATTTTACAGGTCTAGTTTTATGATACTTCAAGGCGTATGACCATCAGGGCCAGCTGGGCTTTTCATTACAGCAGTTAATCGTGAGTAACATTCCATCCACACTACAACTTCACACTCAGCTTAGCCTTCCATTTTTGCACCTAGCTTTAGTATTATCATTATAGGTTACAGAATTATTTTTGCCCACTTTTGT